TTAGTTATTTACTTTTTTTATTACTTTAGAAGATGTTAGGATATATTTTATTGCTTTAATTAATGATTTAGGAGATCTAGTTTGATTAGGCTTAGATTTACTTTATGCACCTATAAATACCCCATGTATTCTTCATTATTAGATGTCTTGGAATTGATGAAATAGAAAAGAAAGTTTGTTCGAAACCATGTGTTAGGATTCGTGAGAGTTCGATCATGCAATCGAATTGGTGAGGCTAAGACCCAAGCCAGTTCAACCGAGTTAGCGAGGCTAAGACCCGAGCTAGTTCAAAAGATGGAGCGAGGCTAAGACCCGAGTGAACTCAAGTATCGTGAGAGAGTTAGGCTAATAACCGAGTCGATCACACCTATTGTCGAGAGCCCAGCACGCGCAGGCAGCCCAGAAGCGCGCGCAGGCAGCCAACACGCGCACGTCCACACGCAGCAGCGCGCTGATGACGGATCGTGTTATTATCTATACGGGTTGTGAATAAACACGCACTAGGGCCTTCGTTCATCCACGATAGGTGTATCTAACAGATGCACTATCGGCCTTCTCCTAGACACTGTGACTTCAAGACGCTCTAATGGCCTTCTCTCCGACACTATATGTAAACACGCACTAACGGCCTTGTTTAAACACACGTAAGAACAACAAGTTCCCCCTCACGATTGGCTCACCAATTCAAGACTCAACATTCAACTCTTAACATATCTAATAATGATGAGGTACATGGGGTATTTATAGGTGCAAAATAAATCTAGGCCTAAATAAACTAGATCTCCTAAATCTTGCAATAATAGAAATCCTAATACTAGAAAGCAATAAAATCATACTACTACCAAAATACTAATGCTTGGCTTGCACACCAAGCAAATCTAGAACCTCCAAACTCTTGCACGCCTCATTGTACGCCACCTCACTTGCGCGCGCGTTCGCGAGTCCTAGTCCTCGACGGAATCGGCGTCTTGCGCGCGGTCGCGCACGCTGTCGCGCGCGCTTCCCCCTTGCAGCGTCCTGCTTGCGCATGTGATGAAGATCGTGTATCTAGCTCAACTCGATTTGCTTCGAAAGTTGCTTTGCCACGGCTTCCTTCTCGGCGATAGGTGTGGACAACTCGGATTGCTCCTTATCTTCTCACGATATTTGAGACAGCTCGGACGTGAATCCTTGCCAAACTTGAGCTTATGACGAACTATGCGGTGAAACGCCCTTTTCGACACAAGGGTTTTTTACTAAAACTCAAAAGAATTCTAACACAAGATATTGGTGACCAATGGTCGATTTTTCATTAATTCATTGCTTGTCTAAAATTGAATGAGTACATGGGTATTTATAAGAAAAACTAGATCTAGTTCTATGAGAGGTATAATTCTAACTAGGAAATAATATCTAATCCTAAGATAACTAAATGTCTTGCATCCCAAGACTTATCAAAATAAATAAACTCCTAAATCTAAACAAATACTAACAGCTGAATAATATATTCTAACCTAACAAAACACTAACCAAATAAATATTACTAACCTAACTACTAACATCTAATTCACGCTAACATATATATATATATATACTAGATGGGTTTACGCCGTGCACGCACAGCGGTCTAACACCCGGTGTAAAATGACTGTGAAAATTTGTCATAAGTTGTTGCATTTTTTATTCTAGCGTATGTTGCATTTGTTCACATATATTGTGTCTTTTTTTAGGGAAATGTTTTAGAATTTTGGTCTCTTTCATATTGCTCCATTTTTTATGAGAGTGGAAGGTTCCACTCTTTTATTATGCAATGAAGTGAAAATAAGAAAAAGAACATAAATTCCAAGGAGAAAAGATGAACTATCTCAACCGCAATAGGGGATCTACAACAGGTGATAGTCGAGTATACTTTCAATGATCTATGACTTGAATGCATTCTCAAGCTTGGGTTACGCCGTGCACGCACGGTGGACTCATCAAATTTAGTCTGAAAATTGACTCATCAATTTCACAAAAAGAGCCCCTGGCACTGTCGATTGCTACAAAAGAACAAATACGCCAGGACATTAAAATTTCTAACTGAAATATTGAACTTTTCAAAGAACTATCACATGACATATAAAAAAAATGCTCAATATTCAATTAAGCAAGTTCCTTGGCAGAAGCAAATGACGTTGATGTAGTGGCATTAGGTTCTTTTTTTGGTAAAGATTCAAGCGCTTCGAAAATGGAACTCCGATTCACAACAGTCGATCCTGATTCGTACAAAAAGTCCAATTGCTCTTATTTCCTGAACGACAAATAACAATTGAATTATAAAAATTAGTAAACCTAAAATCAAAAGTCCTAGTTCAAAAGTTATAGATAGACAAAAACATCACAGCATAGTTGAACCTGAGATTACTTGGGCCGGTCGAAAGGATGCCCTCCCTTCACCGCTGCTCGATCTCACACCCTTCCATGTCGCCTCCACCGCACATCGAAACACTGAGCAGCCATCTACCGTTGTTGTATAAATCACTCATCGTTATTATTTTTTAAGATTACTTTCATACTAAACGAAATTCTGCAACTC